AGCAGTGTAGTAACCAAAACACTGATTAGCTTGTTTCCAAACAGGAAATCCAGGCATGTACTCCAAAGTATAGGTACAGAGGGGTTAGATTTCAAATATTTGAAACTGAGTTTGTCAGAGAAAAACCTGCATTTGTATTTCCTTCTCACAGATGATTGAATCGATCCAATATGATAGCCACGATGCCTCCATACCAGTGGGCCCAACTGGTAGGGTATGAGAAGTCTTCTGAGGAATACTTTGAGTCAGGATGCTTGTATATCAGGGCTGTAATTCTTATCAGAAGATAAGACTTGAACCCTTTATATACTTAGTAGAGACACTGTAGCACTGTAGCACTGTCCTCCCGTTGTTCATCAGTTTGCTCGAGCGGGCACCAGTAATGTCTCCATTGTGAGGCTTGTTGTTACTGTTTTTGGCATATCGAATATGTTACGGGTAGCTTGCCAGGCTCTCCGAGAGGGGCGGAGGAATCGAACCCGGGTCGGTCGCGTGCAAGGCAAGCACCCTAGCCGCTTTGCTATCGCTCCAACCCATACTTATTAAAGGAGCTTCATAAAATGTTTATCTAACAGGTTACCAGTTTGTGGCACAGTTTCAGCTCAACACACGCTGGGGTCCCCTCACCCAGCAGTGCTCAGCGCAGAGTGAGCTATGTGTACAGGCTGGAAAACCTTGCAAATGGTATTTAGGGCAGACAGGCAGGGGAGGGGGCTCCCTGCAGGGCACACAGCCATGAGAGACATAAAAACCAGTGTCCTCTCCCAAGGAAAATCCCAAGTCTCAGCTTGAATGGTGTGATGATTTGGGCTCCAGGAAAGGTGGTGTATCACGGGATGAAACTTCAAACCTTTGAATCGCCTCTAATGATGGAGTCCCACAAGACAATTGAAGATTAGAAAGCCACAGGTCACGGAGGCCGAGCCGGCCCCATTTTCCTGCTTTTGCAGGAAGTGAATTTGTAGAAAAGTCAGAGAGGAACTGAGGGGCCCCGGACAGCTGGTGATTTTCACAGCTGGCTGCAAGACACTCGCATGTCTCCGAAGCAGCCCTTCATCCTCAGAGCGACTCCTGGGACCCCGCACACACTCTCCCCCTGGCCACAGGGCTCAGGGAGACCCTCCCACCAAGGACGCACCTCCAGCTTGATGGTAAGACAGTCTCAATTCTTTGATTTCGGCGCGACTGGGTTTGTCTCTGTCGCTCCTTCTTGGCAATTGGGAAACAAACAAAAAAGTACGTGGAATTTTCTGGTATTGCAGAGCTACCCAGAAATCGGAGTCTTCAGAGTGAATTTGTCCCCTCTGAAGTCTTGGTGCAGGGATTGAGGTTGTCGGGGGGTTAGGGAGCAGCTAAATCTATGTTTGTGTCTTCTGCCTGCCCCTGAGGCACAAAGCCCTCCACCAAACCCAGGCAGTGAGGATGCAAATGTGCCCCCACCCGCACTCAGCCCTGTGAAGCTGGACACGGTTTCTACCCCCACGGGGGTGTCCAGACTCCGTGGAGCTTTTCTGTCGTTGAGAAGCTCCGGGGGTATTTTTAGAGGACCTTGTTCCTACAAATGAGGAAGTCTGGCAGATGGCCCTTCCGGCAGGATTTTTTTTTTCTTAATTTCAGCTTTCTACCCCTCCTGTAGGGAGAAAACTCTGGCAAGGTCTCTTTCTCTCAGGACAATGGGGGGAAAAGGCATTCTGAAAGAGCAGGGCAGCAGCTGCAGGGCGGGGAGTCTCCCAGGACTGGTTGGGGAGGGGGGGGAGCTGGCCCTGCATTTTACCTTACTCGCCTGTGTGACTGTGTCTAATCAATGGGGGAGGCAGGGAAGGAAGTCTGAGCAAGAACAAGCCATTTATCACCGGGCAAGAGCAAAGCCATCTGTGTGGGCTGAGGGCTCCTGCAGCTGATAAGAGTGTTATTCACCACCCAGCCAGGGAAGACCAGAGTCTGTGGCTGGGCCAGTGAAGCCACTTCCTTACATTTCATGACACTGGATTTTTATTCTAGAAACAGGAGCACGCCAGCTTTATAACAGACAAATCAACTGATTATTAATGAGAGAAAAGTCTCCTCTCTCTCTCTCTCTCTCTCTCTCTCTCTCTCTCTCTCTCTCTCTCTCTCTCTCTCCCTCTCCCTCTCTGCATTTTGAGGCCACAGCTGACAGTGCTCTGGTCTTACTCCTGGCTCTGTGCTCAGGGATCACTCCCGTGATGTCTGGGGGATCATATGCAGTGCTGGGGATCCACCTCTGGTCTGTCATGTGCAAGGCTAGGGCTGTAATCCCTGTGTTCTCTCTCTATCTGGAGAAAAGTGTCTTTTGTTAAAATAAGTGGGCTCTTGCTTTGCCTTGATGAGCAAACCCAGAATGTCATTTGTCCTTGCCCCTGGGAGATCAAACACTGAGGGTCAGAAAAAGTCAGTTGGTGATTCTAACTAAACCTTTATCCCCAAGATATAGAATAAGAATAGCTCGAAAAAGTAAAATAATGAGCAAGCCTCACATTTAAATGTAATGTAATCAGCCGAAATTGAACTCTATTAAAATAAATCCTGTAATGGCTGGTATAATACACGCATGCAGAGTGTGCAAGCCTGGGTCGATTTAAGGAAAGTTATAGCACAGCGGGTAGGGCGTTCGCCTTACAAGCGGCCAACATGGCCGACCCGAGTTCGATTCCTCCGCCCCTCTCGGAGAGCCCGGCAAGCTACCGAGAGTATTCGATATGCCAGACACAGTAACAACAAAGTCTCCAATGGAGACGTTACTGGGCCCGCTCGAGCAAATCGACGATCAACGGGAGGGCCTTTACCTTTTATTAGTGGAACTTATCCCACTAGTGAGACAAAGGAGGAAATGGTATCTTTTCACAAGAGGGGTAGTAAAAGCATTTGATAAAATGTAACATCTAGAAATTATTTTAAAATATAAAACAGAAAACAGTCAGGACCTGACTCCAAGTTTTCCTACTCTTACAATGTGACTTTCTCTCTAAAAAGTGTCTACCAAAATCCACAGCAAACCCATACTTAGTGTTGAAACATACCTGCCCTGTTCTGTGCTTGAGAGTTCCTTTATGCTTCTGGCCCTTGAGAATTCTTTCAGTACTTGGTTTTCACTTTCATCTTTTTTTTTTTTTTATGTTTTGGTTTGAGGGGTTACAGTGGTGCTCAGGACTTAACTCCTGGCACTGGTGGCCTGTGTGGGGGGGGGAAGGGCACAGTATGCAGTACCATTGTTAGAACTTCCCTTGCTAGGCAAGCACCTTAAGCCCTCCACCCCCCTCATCAATTCCAGCCCTTTACCTTAAATACACGTGTGTGAGCGCACATGCGCAAACGTGTACTCTGAAGTGTTTTGTAGCTTTGTCTACTTTCATGCACTTCATTGTGTGTTTTTCTGAGTTTATGGAGTGAGGGGCAGGACCTTTTCAGCAGCTGTACAGTTGGTATTTGTCCCTAGGCAGTTTTATGGGCCTGAGGACCAAAAGACTCCAGAGAGCACTTTGTGGGGTCCGGGGTTTTGGGGTTGATAGAACTGGGCTCTTCTTCTTGACAGAGGAATCATCTTTTTTTTTTCTTCCTACAACTTCATACCCTGACTTCATCTGAGAAAGCCATTCTTGATGGATCCAATGAGGATAAAGAAAATGTTATGAAACTTCCTATGATTTCATTTTGCCAGAGGGCAAAATAAAGACAATCTACGGCCATAGCACTTCCTAAAGATTTGATATTTGCAAGTCCCTGCAGTGTCATTGAAATATAAAGAGCGCTATTATTGGCATCATTGCCACCTCTGTGATTTTGAGGTTTGACAGCTTTAAAACATTGCCTCAGGGTTGGAATGAGGAGGGACATGTTTCTAGAAAATGCTTTGCATAGCAACAAACAAACTTTCTGCCAGTTCTTCTGTTAGTAAACCAGGGATTCCAGTGAGTGTGAGTCCCAATACCTGGTCTCTTCATGTTGAACACAAAGAACAGTCAATATTGTCTTGACTATAAGGTCATGAGCATTAAATAAGGCAGCTCTGATGCCAAATCAATACCACGTCGCATATTTCCTACCCAGATACTGAAGGATAAAGCTGAGGCAGTGGGAACAGGAATGTCATCCGATGTATAATTTCAGACAAATCTGGGTTACCACCAACAGGGCCAGAACTGGATTGATCATGGTCTGTTTCACTTCGTGGTGAAAACGTCAGTCACAGTGAATATTCATGTAGCCCTCGGAAAAGGTGAAGAAGAAAATCGATAAGCTAAATGCTCTACCTCATAATGAAACTCTTTTCTCTAAGGAACTCTTTTCTTTTTTTCTTGAACTTGGCATTCCTTTGCCCAATAGATCAGTGTTACTGATGAATGAAACTGAAGATTTTATAGAAAGCCTAAGGGCAGATGCCTTAGGCATCTAGGTGGATTCTTGGATCTGGAGTAAGGGTTATGGTTGCATGATTTATCTCAGCATTACGCTAGATGTCTGGTGAAAATGTAAATACAATTTTCCTTAATTTTGAGGAATAACCTAAGGCAAGGGAGTGCCTGGCAAACACACACACACACACACACACACACACACACACACACACACACACACACATTTTTAGTTCTAGCTTATCATTCACTTGTACTTTAATTTTGCAGAAGGTCCCCAGTCTCTTATTTCTCTATACCCTGATATGCAGGATAATGTTCAATTCTTCTTTATAGAAATGTTATTCAGGATATAGTGGAGATGATGAATGTTTGGGCAGAATCTGAAGACTCATCTAGTTGCTTGTCTCCTTCTCATAGACTCGTTTCCTTTAACCACACTGGAGTCTCCAAACCACTCATGTGCCAAAGGTTTCAAAAGCCACAGTTGTCTCTCTGCAGAATGATTGGTTCAGAACTTGCTGGCTTAGTTTCAAGAGCATTGCAGGTTCTTGGATCTATAGACCTGTGGTTTTTTTAAACAGAAACTAAATTTTAATGCTTCCTCTTGTTTGTTTTTACACTTTCCAGGCACCTATTAAAAATGAACAAGAGCAGCTCTGATTTAGAAAAAGTGAGCCAGGGCTCCACGGAAAGCCTCAGTCCGTCCTTCCGGGGTACCCACGTCAGCTTCACTGCCGGCTCCACGGACAGCCTGGCCTCCGACTCCAGGACCTGCAGCGATGGAGGTAACAAATTTGCCCTTGACAGGAAGACATGGGTTCCCTCAGGTACTTGAGAGTCAGGATCTGCAAAACTCAGCCTGCTTCACTGTTCAAATCCAGTCTGCCTCTTGAAATGGGCTTCGCGTAGGACCAGTGCAAGTTCATTTCCTGTTGAATCTAGGATCAGGTACCTCATCCCGACCAGGTACCTCATTCCACAAGGCCTTTTCCAATTGAGTGCGCATCTGCATGGAGGCAAGGTGGGAAGAGGTGGGAGTTGAGAGTGTTTCAAAGACTCTGGATTCTTGTGTGTTTTGTGTGTATGCTCTGTTCTCAGATTCTTTGGATCTTGGATCAGTTTTCAGGGACTGGGTACTTGCCAAACAAAGTTTCACTGTGTGTTTGTCTGTCTCTTACACATGCACACACTTTTGTGAATATAGAGGTGCTTACTTGAATGTTCGTTGAGTTCAGCTGTGCTGACTTCATCAAACCAGCAATGAGTCCACATTCAGGATAAAGCTGTAGTGCTCCTGCGTGGGTATATCTTGACTGGCCATAGTCCTGGAAGGGAGCTCTCTTTTCTCTCTTGTCTACTTCTGATACACTGGTTTCTCTTAGCCACACTCGAATCTCCAAACCACTGATCTGCCTAATGTTTCAGAAGAACCACTGTTGTCTCCCTCTCAATGGGAGAATTAAAAGCTTTCATCTTTTTAGCTTTCTTGCGTATGTGAGTCCTCTCTGCCTTTCCCTGGACTTCGCGTGGTAGGATGCAACAAGTGCTCACGTGACTTCCTCTCTCATTCCCCCAGGAGCTTTTTGTCTCTAGATAATTTTGGAGCAGGGGTTTCCCTTGTCAATTTACTCTTGCCCACCTATTTTTTCTGTTTGCATCACAAATAAAATATGAGGAAAGAGGCCTATGTTGTAAGTCAGCTTATGACGTATTCTGGCAGTTTTCTGCTCACTTCGACTCAAAAACCTTGGCTTGAGCTGCGTGGGAAGGGGCGAAAGGAGGGTTGCTTTTTCTACAGGTATTCCCAGGCTTCTGTCTTTTCTCCTTTTCCCAGCTGAATGTGCAAAACATCCACAAGGCAGATGATCCCATCTTGGGCTGGGGCAGGCACATTAAACCATCTGACCCTGTGTCGATGAGCCTGATCTGTCCTTGAGGACTGTGGCCAGTTCTGGGGGAGTCTTCTGCCTTGGGAGCCCTGATTGGTGGCGATACATCGACTCAGCACATTGCTGGGCAGAGCCAGTGAACTGAGGTGTTCGCACTCAGGTTCTTTAGGACTGGCTAGAAGATAAGATGAAGGCTCAGGAGTGGGATGGGATCAGCTAAGATATCCGGCTGCCCAGAACATGTGTGCTTCTAAAGACTTCCAGAACACAGCGAAATCAGTGAGCACTGATCTAGCAGGTGTTCAGGGGACCCTTTCAGTGGAGGGGTTCTAAGTCATGACTGCAGTGTGGTTAGCATTTGTTTAATCTCCTGTGGCTGGGAGAAGCCCCATGGCTCTCCCTCTCACCACCCACCCCACATTAGGTGGTCTCGGGCCGCATCCCCCCCACCCAGGGCGGTCCAGGCCATGGGCAGACAAAGGAGAAAGCAAGGGCCAAGCCAGATAATAATCAGTTGCCATTTATTCCATTCTCCCCACACACCTGTTCCAGTCTCACTGCCCCCCATTCTATTCTCACACTGCCCCTCATTCCCATCTCCTCCTTTCTCTCTCGCTGCTCATATCTCTGTGCTCCCTCGCACATCTGGCCTCTCTCTCTCCACATGCCTACTCCTGCATTCTTCTCCTACATTCTTATCCCTCTGTCCCCCTTGATAGTCTCTCTGAGCTCCATCTTTCTTCCCTTCTCTCTCTCTCTCTCTCTCTCTCTCATGAACTCCCACCTCTCTCTTTTGGGAGTAGTCACCACACCCTGTCTGGCAGCAAAATCAGCATAAGAAAGCCTTTCCTTTGCTCAAGGCAAAATAGCACTTAAGGTGTTTTTCTTCTTAATTCTACTTCTTAATATTAGTTATTTTGTATGGCCATAGTAAGAGATACATTGAGTTTGCAGGGTGGCTCTCCTGGGGATATCTTGCCACAGACTCAAACTACAGTGCTCAGGCCAGATTAATAATTTCTAACCCTATCAGGGTTCAAATCTAGTTATTGCTTTTTGGATCATGAGAGCATTTGTCCATGACCAAGCTCTTAACTTATAGTTAAGCATTATGGCACTTTGGCCAGGCCCATTTTGATGCCAGGGTAGCACATAGTTCACAGCTTGCCTTGGGTCTATCCAGTCCCTTGTCAGAACCCTGCTTTTGGGGTGATAGAAGTAAGGGCATCTAAGACTTAGGTTGAGGGAACAGATGCCCCGGAGGTAATATTTTCTGGAGTCAGTTAACTCCCACATTACAAAAGCATAGCATTAACTGTCTTCTTGTGCCCGTAAAAAAAGGACATTGCTCTGAATTCACTATGCAAAGGACTTAAGGAGAAGGGAAAAACAATATTTACAGATTAACAGAGCACAAACAAAGAGGTTACAAATAAACACAGAGGAATGGGAACACTGATGGGAGTAACCCAAAAAACCTAAGCTCCCCTGCAACTAGGTGGGAAGGACAAACCATTGTTATCCTTCAAGAATAGAGTAGGTGGAGGGAGAAGAAAAGAACTTTGGCAGTTAAGGGGGCCAAAGACCTGGGGCCAGCAGTGTATGGGTGGGGGGAGGCAGGAGCAGGTGAGGGGGACCTGGGGCCTGAGGTTGGGGAAGTAGGAAGTTGGACTGGGCACGTTCTTGAAACCAATTTGTGGAGTGGGAAATAGAGGCCGCAGGGCGGTTATAGTTAAATTAAAACGAATCCCTTTTCATGGTTCTTCTTTCATTATCAGCTACTTAGGCCATGGAAGTGTACTTCAGCATTCGAATTCTTAAGATCATCAAACATCTAGACCATGTTATCACCCTATGGCTCTTCAGCAAGAACGAGCTTTGTCTTGCCTCTGTGTGTGCATCTCTACCCAGAATCCTGCTTTGAAACTGACGATTCACTGAAGGGCTGTGTATTCTCTCCATACCCCTTCTCTCTCCCTCCCTCCCTCACTCACTCCCTCCCTCCCTCCCTTCCTCTCCTTCTATAGATCTCTTAAACATTAATCTGCAGACTACTGGAACCACTGGTTTTGAACTGTATGAAATTCACTGTTCATCTTATCATTAACCAAGAAGGTTTGCTTCCGAGCTGCCCTAGCACAGCTGTCTGAGTTTCTGCTCACTCATGTTGACCTCGTAGCTGGGACAGTGGCCCATCACGTCTTTCAGACTCAGTGACTCTCCTAGGGAAAGGTAGAACTAGTTCACACCGAAGTTCCCTGGAACCAGCCAAGTGCCAACCTCCGTAGTGTTCTGTGTTAAGTCAGACACCAGTGGACCACGTATTGTGTTGGCAAAAGTTGATTCCTGAAAGCAAGGGATTCCCCCTTTTTGTTGACTTCCTACCTTCTCAGTATGGGCTGACCTGTTTTCCGTGAGTTTTTGACCCCTTTAGATTTGCTCTTGCACATCCGTCTTTCATTCCTGAGTCCCCCCCTCTCCTGTTTACCCGTAGCTTAAGTTTTAAAGTTTCTTTTTTCATTTTGTTTTCTGGGAGGGACTCAGAAGGCTCAGTGGCCCTTCCTGGAAATTCTCAGCCAACGGGGCTGGTGATTCAGTACAAGGGCCTGAGGTTGCAACACTGCTCTGACTCTGTGTGTTGAGAATTTCCCAGGTGCCCCTGCGGTACCAGGAAGCTCCAGGGCCACACCCATGGGTGCTCAGGGACCTCTAGGTGCTTGTGGGACCACGTGAGACTGAAGCAAGCATGCACTTTAACCCCTGTACTATCTCTCCAGCCTTGAGTTTTAAACTTTAAAAAATAAACATAATTGAATTCTGTTGCATTATTTACGTGAGTTTGTTTAAACTTTGTGTTTACAAGCTATTATCTTTGCCTATTTCTGTATATATGTATACTTTCCTTCTCATGTCTCTCCCCCAACCATCTTTTTTTCTTGTTTTTTTTTTTAATTGAATCACTGTGAGATACACAGTTACAAAGTTGTTCATGATTGAGTTTCAGTCATACAATGTTCCAAACCTTCCCCTTCACCAGTGTATATTCCCCACCACAATACCACAGTGTCTCTAATCTACCTCCCTCTACCACCACCCCAGTCTCCGTCTATGGCAGGTACTTTCTCTCTCTCTCTCTCTCTCTCTCTCTCTCTCTCTGCATTTGGTTTGCAATACAAATACTGTACTTTTAGCATTCAATTCTTCTCCAGAGTAATCATTTTCAAGAATTGTCATAGTGTTCCCTTCTCTATCCAAACTGCCCTCTCCTCTCACTTGCAGGGGGCTTCCAACCATCCATGGACCAGTCCTCCTGGCCTTCATTTCTACTGTTCTTGGTTCGTAGTCTCATACTATGTTTTTTATGTCCCACAAATGAGTGCTTTCTTTCTATGTTTGTCTCTCTCCTTCTGACTCATCTCACTCAGCAAGGTACTCTCCATGTCCATCCCTTATAAGAAAATTTCATGACTTTCATTTTTCCCGGTGGCTGCGTAGTATTCCACTGTGTAGATATACCATGGTTTCTTTATCCATTTGTCTGTTCTCAGGCACTCGGGTTGTTTCCAGATTCTGGCTATTGAGAATAGTGCTGCAATGAACATAGGAGTGCATGATTCCCTAGGATATATTCCCAGACGTGGTATTGCTGAGACAGATGGGAGCTCAGTTTCTAGCTTTTTGAGGAACGCCCATACTGTTTTCCAAAAATCCCCTGCCCATCTCCTAGCTCACTTGTCCACATGGGCAGTTCAGATGGCTCATGAGTCAGCTCCAGGGAAGGCTGCATCTGTCTAAGCAGTTGTTTGGTTTGCATGATTGGGGGTAGTTGACTGCAGGGGTCAGGGTGATTCATGAATGGCACCAAAGGGAAGATTGCCTCAAGTGAGTTGGATGGA